TCATGGTTGGTGGGCTCTCACCTCACATCAGGCTCTATGCTGACAGCATGGAGCCTGCTTGTGATTCTCTCTCCCTCTCTCTATACTCCTCTCCTGCTCTCTCTCCGTGTTTCAAAATATAAACTAATACAAAACAATTTTTTTAAAAAGAAGATTATAGGCCCTAAACTAAAAGGTTTTTCTCAGGCTTGTTCTGATGCTGTTTTATGGATTTTTACATACTTCAGTGGGGCAGGAAAAGTAATCTGTATGTGCTGTTTTGTTTTCTAAGTTTCAGAGAGCCGTGGGACTGATGAGTTGCTGAAGTAGGGCTAGGGTGTCCTAAAGTCTAAAGAGGTCATGGGGCAGCTGGGAGGCCTAGGAAAGCTTATTCTAGCATTTATTGTGTGAACAGTAGTCGCTGTTGTAAGGAATGGTTGCCTTTATTGTTCAGTGCTTAAGTAGCTGTATACCTTCTCTGTTTCTACTAGGTATAATCTGAGTCTACTTAAAAAGTAGAGTGTGGGGCTCCTGGGTGGCTCAGTTGGTTGAGCGTCCCACTTCGGCTCAGGTTATGATCTCCTGGTTCATGGGTTCGAGCCCCGTGCCGGGCTCTGTGCGCACAGCTAGCTCAGAGCCCGGAGCCTGTCTTCGGATTCTGTGTCTCCCTCTCTCTCTGGCCCTACCCTGCTTATGCTATCTCTTTCTCTCTCTCTCTCAAAAGTAAATAAAACATTAAAAAAAAAAAAGAATAGAGTAAATATATAACCTCTTCAGCACCCTAATGTCCATTCAATTCTTGCTGCCTTATCAATGGACACTCCCAGGACCCTGCCTAATATCTGAGTTGGTAAGCCCTACTATTAATAGACTCCAATCAGGGGCGCCTGGGTGGCTCAGTCAGTTGAGCGTCCAACTTCAGCTCAGGTCATGATCTCACGGTTTGTGGGTTTGAGCCCTGTGTTAGGCTCTGTGCTGACAGCTCAGAGCCTGGAACCTGCTTCAGTTTGTGTCTCCCTCTCTCTCTGACCCTCCCCTGCTCACGCTGTCTGTCTCACTCTCTCTCTCTCAGAAATAAATAAAAACATTAAAAAAAAAATAGACTCCAAACATAGACAGCTTTGTTTTTCACTATTCCTGTTTTGATTCTTCTTTGACTCTAGTACATCTAGACTCTTGACCTCTCCTGAATTTTGACCCTGTTAGCAGCCCTTTTGTCTTTACTTCATTCCCATCTAGCCTAGATTGCCTGTTCCATCATTTATAACAAGGTTATATATGACTTTAAACAGCTCTCACCCATTTTCCATTTTTAAAAGCCAATTTCAACTTGTAGCAGTTCCTCTTTGATGTAAAATGACCTTTTTCACTAGGAAGTACAAGCCAATCAGAGATCAAATCCCACAACTCCACGTGTCTCCCACAACCCTCAACCAGTTTGCAGCCACATGCATATATGAACTTTCTTCTTTTTTTTTTTATTTCTTCCTTTCAAATCTGGATACCTTTTAATTTCTTTTGCTTGACTGACTTTCCTGACTAGAACCTCCAGTACAATGAAAAATAGAAATGACAAGAGCAGGCATCTTTATTTTGTCTCTGATTTTGGGAGGAAAACATTCACTATTTCACTATTAAGTATGATGTTAACTGTGGGGTTTTCGTTGATGTTCTTGATCAAGTTGAAGAAGTTCCCTTCTATGCTTAGTTTGTTGAATGTTTTTGTTATGAAAAAGTATAGCTATTGAGATGATAATGTGGTTTTGTCCTTTATTCTACTAATATGGTATATTACATTGTGCATTTCCACTTTGACAAAGGTATCTTTCTAGCTGTCCTGGATCCTATGTACTTCTAAATCTTTGGGATCTCTTCTGACTGAGTTTTCTTCTTACTTCTGTGGCTCCTTCCTACTCTCCTTCATGAACTTTTTCCTCCATATATCCATTCATTTAAATCTGATCCTTCCAAGGTTCCTTACTGACTTCTCCAGAAATTTAGAACTTCCTCTAGACTTCTAATTCAGTAATTCTTCTGAAGTGATCTCTTCTAATTCTTCTGATTCTCCTGAAGTGATCTCATTGACTCCCATGGCTTCAGGTACTTTAATATGCTATTAACTTATAAATCTGTATCACTTCTTTGACCTCTTCTTTAAGCCCTTGCCTCCTTTTATGTTATGTGTCTCAAAGAAGGTACCAGCAATGTCTTAACACCTAAAAATTACTCATATCTCTTTCTATTCCCTATTCCTTTTTTTTTTTTTTTTTAAAGTAGGCTCCATGCTGAGATCTGAACTCACAACCCCGAGATCCAGACCTGAACTGAGATCAAGAGTTGGACATTTACCTGACGGAGCCTCTCAGGCATCCCCCTGGTCCCTGTTCCTATTAGGAAACACCAAATCCTGTCTGTTCTACTCTCTTACTATATTAGGAATGTGTCTGCTTCCTTCTATCACCAGACCTAAAGATTAGTTCTGACTTTTATAATCCTTGACCTGGTTATTAAAACAGGCCCTGACTGGTCTTTCAACCTCCAGTCTTACCTTTCTCATCTTCTAAGTCTGTATTAAGTTCCCTTGTTGCTTAATAGTGCCCTATGAATTCCTCTGACACTATACTGCTCACCCTACGTTTAATCATATGTTTCTCTGGATTCTCCTCTGTACCATAAATTACTATAAGACCAGGTACCACCTCTCAATCATCTTTATATTTTGGTCTACCGCCCTGAACGTACCCAATCTTGATTATCATCTTTATATTTTGAACACCTAGCACAGTGCCTGGTTGTAATATACATTTGTCAGTAGTTTGTTAAATGAATTGAATTAATATTAAGAACACAGTTTTAAAAAACACCCAGAGTGCATTGAAAGGCCTAAAGATAGAGCAGTTCAGAAAGGTTTTATGAAGAGATGTGTTTTAATTTGGATGTTTCATGAAGTCTGAATAGAGTTGACGGGAAGAGAGATACCATTTCAGGTAGAGGGAAACCTAAGCATTTAGAGCTTCTTTTGAGAACTATTTGGAGCATAAGGTTCTCAGCGGGGCGAGGGGAGTTGGTTGTGGGTAGAAAGGTAAATTGAACCAGATTGTTGAAAGTCTTGAATACCATGCCTAAGTCATTGGCTTTTATTCTCTGAACATTGTGAAACTCTATAAAGTTATTGAGTAGGGAAGAGATGCTCAAAATTTAATTTTGTAAATCCTCATCAGAATGAATTGGATTGAGGAAATGAGAGATGTTAACTAGTAGTCCAGTGTAGTAGTTAGGCAAGAAATAATGAGGATTTTTACTAGGACAGTGGGACAGGAAGAGACAGAGTTCAGAGATTTGATGGTAGAATTTGAGCTTTGAGAGACAAAAAGAAGTTGTAGATTATTTCAAGATTTGTAATGAGTGGTATGGGATTTTAGGGAACATGTGGGAATCTGAGAGACTGGTTGGATGGAGGGACCATGAAGGAGGGACCATAAATAGGGAGAACCAAGAAGAGGAAAATATTGGAGATTAGATTATAATGAATACTGCCTTAGTCTAATGTAAGGTTAGCCAAATTTCCATTTATAAGGATGTGATCCAGGCAAATGGAAATAAGATCTAAGGTTCAGGAAAGAGCTTAGGGGTAGTGATCATGATTTGTGAGTCATTTATATAATGGCAGTAGATAAAGAAATTAGATGGGATGTTCCTTTTGCACCCTGGTGCAGCAAGTGGTAAAGTCAGAGAGTTAGCTGCTTCTCAGTTTTGCCTTTAGATAATCATTCATGCCATTTAAAGTCACCTTTTAGGAGCGCCTGGGTGGCTTAATTGGTTAAGCGTCCGACTTTGGCTCAGGTAATGATCTCGCCGTCTGTGAGTTCGAACCTCACATCAGGCTCTGTGCTGACAGCTCAGAGCCTGGAGCCTGCTTTGGATACTGTGACTCCCTCTCTCTCTGCTGCCCTTCTGCTTGCACTTCGTCTCTCTCTCAAAAATAAATAAACCTTTTTAAAAATAAAAATAAATAAATAAATAAAGTCACTTTTTGTATCCCTTATACTGCAAAGTGCTAACCCCCAAAACAGGACAAGACATGATTTTTGGAGGAGTTCAGAGTGAAGAATTTTCAGAATATATTTTCAAAGCTTTTACAGAATTATATGATGGTGTATTATACTCCAATAAATTTTACGTCTTTAAAAGAACTCCTGAATTACATTTTTAGTTGTCTTCATATAGTACTATTTATATGATGAGAAGGCTACTTGCAGTGGAATTATCAAATATAAAATTTGAGATATCTAGGCCTTATTATAGATCACCTGAATCTGAATCTTTGAGAGTGAGGCCAGCCTCCTTTTGAATGCCTTAAAATTTGAAAATCACTGATATATGTGATGAAATTGTCACAGTATTAAGTTTAAAAACTAGGATCCTTTAAGGGGCGCCTGGGTGGCTCAGTCAGTTAAGTGTCCAACTTTGGCTCAGGTCATGATCTCACAGTTTGTGGGTTTGAGCCCCGCATCGGGCTCTGTACTGACAGCTCCAAGCGTGGAGCCCACTTGAGATTCTGTGTCTCCCTCTCTCTCTGTCCCCCCCTCACTCATACTCTCATCTCTCACTTGGATTCAAAAATAAATATTTATTTATTTATTTATTTATTTTTTTAAATGTTTTATTTATTTCTAGGAGAGAGAGAGAGAGACAGCATGAGCAGGGGAGGGTCAGAGAGAGAGGGAGACACAGACTCTGAAATAGGCTCCAGGCTCTGAGCCGGCAGTCAGCACAGAACCCGACGCGGGGCTCAAACCCACGAACCGTGAGATCATGACCTAAGCGAAAGTCTGACGCTTAACCGACTAAGCCACCCAGGCGCCCCCAAAAATAAATATTTAAAAATTAAAAATATTTTTTTAAAAAACAACTAAGGTCTGTTGAGATTGCCGTTTTGATGTCAGAGAATAAAAGAGGCGTTACTTTACATATGTAATCCAAACAAAAAATTTGCCAACTTAAGTTTACCTTTCTTTCAGCTGAGTGTGAGAGGAAAAAATAAAAAAGAGAAACTTGAAGATTTCTTCAAAAACATGGTTAAATCAGCAGATGGAGTAATTGTTTCAGGAGTAAAGGTAAGATTTTATTTGATTAACAGAGGTATTGGTTTGAGAATCCACTTTTAAGAAGATAGAGATTTCAGATGTGCAGGTGACTATTGGAGTAAAAGAGAAGTTTGAACATAGAATGCTTAGGCCTAGGAAACTGGGCCCCTCACCCTAGATTCCACTCTTTAGAGGTCTTAGGGGTGAGAGTTCTTCAGTCCAAGGGGATTTGCCCACCTGGAGCACATACCCCTTCCCTCTAAACTAGACCATGCTTGAGGTATCTGGAACCCCTTATTTCTTTGCCCACATCTGAAGCCAAGTCTTCCTCTTCTGTGGGCTTCTTCCCTAAGTTCATCCTCCAGTGTGTGTACCTTATGGGTAGTCAAGGGTGACCATGGGGCAGCTAGGGAGAGGGAAGGCACAGGGGAGACCAGTGTGCAGGATGGAATGTCCTGTTACATAATAGGAGGTTTCTCTAGGAGCCTTATAGAGCTGCAGGGTGGGGCACAGAGTGGGGCTGCCTCCATTTGTACATTTGCCCTTGGTCTTAACAAATGTCAGGGGCAGACTTGGGTTCAGTTCTGGAGTCAGAAGAGCTTCTTTGAAGTTTTAGTCTTGTCTTGGGGTGCCTGGCTGGCTCAGGTAGAGCATGATACTCTTGATCTCGGGGTCATGAATTCAAGCTCCACATTGGGCATAGAGTTTGCTTAAGTAAATAAATAAATAAATAAAAATACAGATTTAGGGGCACCTGGGTGGCTCAGTCAGTTAAGCATCTGACTTTGGTTCAGGTTGTGATCTCATGGTTTGTGAGTTCGAGCCCCACATCGGGCTCTGTGCTGTCAGCTTGGAGCCTGAAGCCTGCTTCATATTCTGTGTCTCCTTCTGTCTCTGCCACTTCCCCGCTCATACTGTCTTGTGTGTGTGTGTGTGTGTGTGTGTCTCTCTCTCTCAAAAATAAATTAAAATACATTAAAAGATTTAAATTTTTCAAAATATATAAATAAATAACACCTATGTATTTCTTACTGATCTAAAAAATGGTACAGGAATTGATTTATCTGGACTCTTACCATTAAAAGAGAAAAATGTTTATATTACATTATGAAACAAATAATAAGAAAGAGATAAATGGTACAGCTTTGTCACCCTTACCTGTTTTTATAGATACGTCTGCAGTAAAACTTAAGTGGGAAGTACGGTTTTTTTGATTTATACTTTGGTTTTCAGAGACGGGTTACTTGGTATGTTGACAGTGCATTTGCCATGGCTACTTTCTAATAAGGACCCCGTTTCTTTCCATTTAATGCTCCTTTGCATTAATATTCAACATTTTTCTTAACATTAAGTGTAAACCACTTTATTAATAGAGTATGATTAGTAGTAACATCTTTTGAACATTTACAATGTGGTATTTGGTAGCCCATACTTTATATAATCTTCAGTCCTACAAGTTGGATAGTTTATCCCCATTTTAACAGTTAAGAAAAGTGGTACATGTGTTTACAGATTTTAAAGGACATTTTGTCAGTACTGACTTTTCTTTCTTTTGTTCTGTTGATATGGATCTTATTTCAACTGCTGCCTTTTCAAAATCTGATTGCTATTTAGAAAGGAGGAAAGTGTTTTTAATTTTATTTTTTTAAGTTTATTTATTTTGAGAGAGAGAACGAGCAAGGGAGGGACAGAGGGAGGTGGGGACTGAGGATCCAAAGCAGGCTCCAAGCCGACAGACAGAAGAGAGCCTGATGTGGGGCTCTTAAATTAGTGATAAAATCAGTAGGATATCTGATCATTAAGGATAACTGTGCTGTTTTACGGATTTTTCTGTGATTATAGTGGTAAAGTGATTTATGTATTACACTAAAGCAAATAAGTGAAAAAATTTTATTTTCTTTTGATCCTATAGGATGTAGATGATTTCTTTGAGCATGAACGAACATTCCTTTTAGAATATCATAACCGAGTTAAGGATGCATCTGCTAAATCTGATAGGATGACAAGATCCCACAAAAGTAAGGCTTTTTTCTCTGTGGCTAAAGCTTACCTTTTTTTTAATGGAATAATTATAAAGCTATGTTTTTTACAGTTTTTAAAAGTCTTGATATAGAACAGTGGTCCTCAAACTTTGGTCTGTGAAGCCTTGGCCCTAGGGCTCTTTTTATTTTTACCAAGTCTGTGAGGTCAAAAATATCTTAATAATAGTCCATGATGCTTTTTGTATTTTTCACCATGTTGAGATTTACACTGATAATGCAAAAGCCGTGGTGGATAAAATTACTGGTGCCTTAGCCCAGACCAACGCAGTACACCAAATTATGCTAATAGTCACTGTTTTCCTTCCTACAGTGCATTTGCAATTAGAAGAAATTTTTCAATTAAGAATGTCCTTGATGAAACAGTAAAAATGATTAATAAATCACTTCCCTTGGGTTCACGTGTTTTAATATCTTAATGATGAAATGGGAGGTATGCATAAAGCACTTTGATTACCTACTGAAGTATGATGGTTCTCTCTAGAAAAGCATTTTAGTAGTTGAGTTGTAACTAAACTAGTTAATTTTTCATAAAACCCCATTTTTACTTGAGAGAACAACTGACAAACTATGATTATTCATACTTGAGTATTTGGTAGACATTTTCTTAAAAATTAAGTGAGCCTGTCACCTTAAGGAAAACAACTGACAGTATTTGTTGACAATGGTGAAAGTCAAGCTTTCCAGCAAGAAGTAGAATTTTGGAAAAGTTTATCCATCCCCATGAGCTTATTTCCAATAATTAAAGACTGGTCTGAGGGAGGAGATTGATGGGAATATGTGAATGTGATATTTTTGATACTGTTTAGTATACTGAAGTGTGTCAACTTTTGGAACATCTGCATCATTCATTGAACCGACATTTTCTAAATAATGAAATACATGATTATAAAATCATGTATTCAAGATTGAAGATAGGCTAATGGGGTTTTTTAACAGCTTTACTGAGGTATAAATTGATATCAGTAAGCTGCAGTATTCAGAGTATACAATTTGCTAAGTTTTGACATATATGTAAAATTATCAATACAGTCAGGATAATGCACATATCTGTCACCTCTACAAGTTTCTTTATAGCCCTTTTTAATCCTTCCCTCTCACCCTGTCCCTAGGCAACCACTGGTCTGCTTTTTGTCTCTATAGATTAGTTTGCATTTTCTGGAATTTTATATAAATGGAATCATACTGTATGTACTCTTTATTATTTGGCTTTGAAATTCAACAAAATTATTTTGAGATTCATCCATGTTGTTGTGTGCATCGAGAGGTCATTCCTTTCTGTTGCTGAGTATTACTCTGTTGTATGGATATACCACAGCTGTTCATACAATCAGGTATTGGTGGACATTTCGGTCGTTATTATCTTTTAGCTGTTAACAATAAAGCTGACACAAAACATCTATATGTAAGTCTTTGTATGGACATGTGCTTCCATTTCTCTTGGATAATACCTAAAAGTAGAATGACCAGGTCATGTAGTAAGTGTATAATTAACTTTTTAAAAAACTGCCAAACTTTTTTTCCCAAAATGATTGTACCATTTTATATTCCTACCAGCTGTGCGCAGGCATTCAAATTGTTCCACATCTTTTCCAATAAGGATACTCATTCTTTTTCATTTTAGCTATTCTTATAAGTCAGTAATGATGTCTCTGTGTGGTTTTAATTTTTAATTTGCATTTCCCTAATGACTAATCATGTTGAACATCCCTTCTTAACATAAATCTTCTAGCTTTTTTCTTCTTTACCAAAGTTTTTTTGGCCCCTCTAGATTCTTTACGTTTTCATATGAATTTTATTGTTTTATTTAAATTTTATTTAGTTAATATACAGTGCAACATTGGTTTCAGGAGTAGAATTCCGTGATTTATTTCTTTATTTTATTTCCATATAAGTATACTCAGTGCTTATCACACATGCCCTCCTTAATACCCATCACCCATCTAGCCCATGTCCCACCCAGCTCCCTCTGTCAATCCTTTATCATTTGCTCTCTGTTGTTAAGAGTCTCTTGTAGCTTTTTTCCTCTCTTCTCTTCCCCCTTCTTTCCCATATGTTCATCTGTTTTGTTTCTTAAATTCCACGTATGAGTGAAGTCATATGGGATTTGTCTTTTTTTTGATTGACTTATTTCAATTCATATGGATTTTAGAATTAGCTTGTCACTTTCTACAAATATGCTGTCTGAGATTTTGGGGTTGCATAGAATCTGTAGGTCAGTTTAGGGAAGATTGACATCTTAACAATATTGACTCTTCTGATACATAAACATAGTATTAGTATATCTCTCTATTTAGTTTGGTCTTCTGTAAAATTCTCTCAGCAGTGTTTTATAAGTTTCATCGTACAGATCTTATACACCTTTAGTTAAATTGATCCCTCATTATTTTTTGATACTATCTATCATAAAAGATGTGTTTTTTACATTTCAGTGTCTAGTTCTTTGCTAATATATAAAAATACAGTGTGTTTTCTATATTGAAATTATTACTTGCAATCTTACTAAATAAACTCACTCATTAGTTCTGGTAACTATTTCATAGATTCCTTATGATTTTCTCCATAGATGATCATCTGCTAATAAAAACAATTATACCTCTTTCCAATTTAGATTTATTTCTTGTCTTTGCCCCATTGTACTGAAGCTATACTATAGCTCTAGTGCATTGTGGATGGAAGTGATGAGAGCAGGCATCTTTGCTTTGTTCCTTAGCTTATGGGGAAGGTACTCGTTCTTAAATTATGTTTGCTGTGGGTTTTTCCTAGATGCTTTTTATCAGAGTGAGAAAAGTGTCTTATAAATTGCTAGTTATCTGAGAGGTTGTGTTTTTTTAAATCAGGAATGAATGTTGGATTCTTTTCAGATGCTCTTTTTGCTGCTGCAGTGTTCAGATAATCATCTCGTTTTTCCTTTTTAGTCTATTAATATGGTCAGTTGTATTGATTGATTTTTAGTTCTTGGGATAAGTATCACTTATTTATACCAATGGAGTTTAATAGAGTTCAGAAAGTTTATTGATATGATTTTAGATTCCCCACTACAACTAACTCTTAAAGAAACTACCACGTGTTGAGTTTTGGCGTGGTATCAAAGGAGAATATCCACAGTTATCTGAAAATATAGCTACATACAGCTACATATCTGAGACTGCATTTTCTCCACTAATTTGAGTGAAAGCAGTGTATTATAATAAATTGAATGTAGAAGCAGGTAAGAGAATATAGCTGTCTTCTATTAAGATAAAGACAAAATTTGCAAAAATGTAACATTGTCACTCTGCTCACTAATCTCAAACTGTATATATTTTTCATGTGAAATATTACTTAGGTTAACTATGATTTTAATGCTTTTAATCATTTTGCTTTACTTAAAAAACATACAGTACATATTGATAGATAGAACCCACATAAACAAAATTATTTGGATCCTCAGTAATTTCTAAGAGTGTAAAGGAGTCCTTAGACCAAAAAGTTTGAGAACTCTGTTATAGAGACAATTCAGCTGGTGCCTGGAAATAAGAACCTCCGTTTTGTAGGACTGTTACTTGCTGTAACAGAAAGGAGGAGATAAGGTCTCTAGCTTGGTAACTTCTATTCTTGTGTCATTCTTTTGGGAAGATTGAGTTACTTTTATATTTTATTATTATCTTTGTAACTTACATATTTCTTCTAATGAAGTATTTATATTTGCCTGTTCAGTACTTAAGAACTATAAAGTGAAGGGGCGCCTGGGTGGCTTAGTCGGTTAAGCGTCCGGCTTTCACTTAGGTCATGATCTCGCGGTTCGTGGGTTCGAGCCCCGCGTCGGGCTCTGTGCTGACTGCTAGCTCAGAGGCTGGAGCCTGTTTCAGTCTGTGACTCCCTCTCTCTTTGACCCTCCCCTGCTCACGCTGTCTCTCTCTCTCTCTCTCTCTCTCTTTCTCCCCTAGAAATAAACAAAAACATTAAAAAAATTAAAAAAAAAAAAAAAGAAGTATAAAGTGAAAAGTGCGGGAAGCTTGAATTCCTTCCTAGATTTATTACCGATTTGCTCTAGAGCATTGGGCAAGTCACATAATTAATTGGTATTATATTGGTTCCCTTGTTTATAAAATGACATTAAGGATAAATTGTCTCACATGTTTTATTCCTCTGTTAAGAGAAACTCTGTCTTTTAGACTGTCCTCTACCTGTCCCTCCATCAAGACCTACACTTACTCCCACTACACACCCAGAGTCACATAGTGCACCCTCTTGGGCCCCAGCAGTACCCCATACTCCACCACCTGAACCAGGCTGGAGTCCATAGGCCTCACCTGTACCCCCTCAAGAAAGAAAAACTTTGTAACTATGAAATGATATATATACTAGTGTTCGTTGTAATAATTAGGAGTATTCTTAAGTTTAGATTCAGTTATTTAAAATGGAATCCTAGCGAGGTGCCTGGCTGGCTTAGTCAATACAATGTGTGACTCTTGATCTCGAGGTTGTAGGTTAGAGCCCCACGTTGGATGAAGAGATTACTTAAAACTAAAATCTTAAAAAATTTTTAAAAAATAGAATCGTACTATACTTTAAAAATTGTTTTAAAGTTATTTAGCTCAGGGACACCTGGGTGGCTGTCAGTAGAGCAGGCAACTCTTTTTTTTGTTTTGTTTTGTTTTGTTTTGTTTTGTTTTGTTTTGTTTTGTTTTAAGAGAGAGCACCAGATGGAGCGGCAGAGAGAGAGAGAGAGAGAAAGAGAATCCTAAGCAGGCTCCATGTTTGACATGAGCCGAAACCAAGAGTGTGATATTCAACTAACTGAGTCTCACCCAGGCACACCTGAGTCTGTGACTCTTTATCTCAGGGTCATGAGTTCAAGCCCCATGTTGGGCATGGAATCTACATAGGACAGGATAGGACAGGACAGGACAGAATAAGTAAAATTAAGTAAAAAATAAAGCAAAATAGTTTATAAACATTGGCCTGTGTGTTTGCCAACCATAATGTTAGGCATTGGTAATTTCAAGATGAAGAAAATATAGTCTTTACCCTTAAGGAGGTAATAATTTTTCAGGTGAGATAAACATGAAAAGCAGAAAATAACAGTATATTATAATCAGTCCTTTAATAGAGATATATATTTGTGCTATGGAAACATAAAGAACTATAAAGGTAGAGAATCATCTGTTAAGATAACATAATGATTCTTATTTATTCTATTTGGCCAAATGGAACAGTACTTTTAAGAGAAACGACGGTGAACCTGTTTTACAAAATTATAATTATTACATATAATTATTATATACAGTATTATAACATTATAATAAAGTAAAACCTTTTTTACAATGCATAAACTTAACTGGGCAAGACTATGAAAAATTAGGCTTTTCAGCATCACTGTGATGTGTATAAAATCAAGCCAGTTTGCTTATTTTCTGTGATCATATAATAATGTAATAGCCAAAAAGGGCAGTGTTCTCAGAGCCAGATACTAGGAGACAGGAATTTCTTGATCTAAAAAATAATCTCCGGGGTGCCTGGGTGGCTGAGTCGGTTAAACCTCAATTTGCCTCAGGTCATGATCTCACGGTTCGAGCCCTACGTCAGGCTCTGTGCTGACAGCTCAGAGCCTGGAGCTTGTTTTGGAGTCTGCGTGTCTGTCTGTTTCTCTCTCTTTGCCCTTCCCCTGCTTTCTTTCTCCCTCTCTCCCTCAAAATTAACTAAACATTAAAAATAATAATAAAAAATTTCAGGGTCAGTTTAAGTATAAAATATTAATGTATCTGATATTGGACACAAATCATTTTTTATTCCTGACTCAATAAACCAACCTTTATGTGATTTTTTTTTTTTTTTTAAAAACATTCTTTTTTTTTTTTTTNGAGAGAGAGAGATAGCGTGAACAGGGGTGGGTCAGAGAGAGAGAGGGAGACACAGACTCTGAAACAGGCTCCAGGCTCCGAGCCGGCAGTCAGCACAGAGCCCGACGCGGGGCTCGAACCCACGAACCGCGAGATCATGACCTAAGCGAAAGTCGGACGCTCAACCGACCAAGCCACCCAGGCGCCCCCCTTTATGTGATTTTTTAACTTAAATTTTTAGGTTAATAGTGAAGAGTCTCATATGTAGAAGTTACCAGAGTCCAAAGTTTGTATTCAGAGTATCTTTATGAAAGATATCAGAATAGATCTGTTTTGAATAACAGTAAGTAAATAGTCACCAAATCTCAGCCTTATCAGTTGAATGTAACTTTGTGCAACATAAAGTATAATGTAAGGATTACTGTTTTGTTAGAGAATAAACACATTAAAACTTGTAAACGTACTACTGGGGATAAGTGAGAATTTCCATACAAAATAGACATGTTTTGGATTTCATCAATAATAGCAAACATTTATATAGTACTATACTTACTATGTGTCAGATATATAGTAACATTGATTAACTCACTTAATCTCAGTAATTATATGAGACTGGTACCATTATTATCCTCCTTTCCAGATGAAGAAAGCAAGGCATACACAGGTTAAGTGATAAGCTCAAGGTCATATAGCTGGTAAACTGGGATTAGACCCTAAGCAATTTGGTTCCAGGTCCAGGCACTTAACCAATGCACAGTACTGTCCTTTTTCTGAAACAAGTAATCTTTTCTCAACAAGTTGTCCTATGCGGTGAGCCCTAGAAATAGAAAGAGTATTATGCTGAAATTGAATACTTTGCTTTCTAGAACCCAAGGGTATGGTGCTACCGCCATTCATCTAGCTTCCCAAGCTCCATAATTTTTCCTCCTACTTCAGGTCTCCTGTTTGTAATCCTTTTAGGATTTCCTAATTGTAAAATCCTACCTATTAGGTTTCCTAAATATCTTCCAGCCTTGTTGTTCCTGTCTGCTGTCACTGTTTTCGCTGCTTTTATCCTAACAATCAGTATCTGACACAAAAATTTCCTTGTTCGTTACTCTGCCTTCTGTGTCTCCACTTCTAGTCTTTATTCCAGGCAGCAGGTTGATTTTACCACTACTGTTATTTTTAAATGTTTAATAACACCCATTCTTATAAGATCAAATCCAGACTTTATCATGGCATCCAGAAACCCATTTCTCCCCCAAGATACCTCCAATTTATTTTTCCGTCTTCAACTCCATCCACTACCCTTTGTACCCTTATAGTGCTTTCTTCCTAGAAGGCTGTCTGAATATACTGTGCTCCTTTATGTCTCATTGGTCTTTATCCATGCTCTTCTCTTTATCCAGAATGCTCTCCCCTCCATTTTGCCTAGTAAAGATTTGCTTATCCTGCAAGTTCTGACTCACTCGGTAGTATCTATAAATCCTTCCCTAACTTACTCAGGTTTGCCCTGCTCCCAGAGTAATTTGTACCTACTTCTGATAGAATACTCTGATAGAATAGTCCATCAAATTGTATTATAGTTACTGTCATTTCCTTCACCAGACTTGGGGTATCTCATACTGCATACACATGGTTTAGCAGGTAAGTGCGCAATAAGTATTTTTGCATCAATGAATAAATATATTAAATTCTAACAATCTTTTCCATAGGTGCTGCAGATGATTACAATAGGATTGGTTCTTCACTATATGCTCTAGGAACTCAGGATTCTACAGATATATGCAAGTAAGGATTCTGATTTAAAACATGGGTCGCCTGGTGGCTCAGTTGGTTAGGTGTCCAACTTCAGTTCAGGTTACGATCTTGTGGTTTGTGGGTTTGAGCCCCATGTCAGGCTCTATGCTGCCAGCTCAGAGCCTGGAGCCTGCTTCGGATTCTAGGTCTCCTTTTCTCTCTGCTCATTCCCACTCACATTCTGTCTCTCTGTCTCTCAAAAATAAACATTTTTTAAAAAGTTTTAAAACATTAAATAAAACAAAAATTTTGCTAGCAGCCTAGGCACACAGAATGCCTGACCCAGTGGGCATTTAGATTATCTTCGTCAAAACACATCAGTAAGGGGCGCCCGGGTGGCTCAGTTGGTTAAGCGTCCGACTTCGGCTCAGGTCATGATCTCGCAGTCTGTGAGTTCGAGCCCCACGTTGAGCTCTGGGCTGACAGCTCAGAGCCTGGAGCCTGCTTCAGATTCTGTGTCCCCTGCCCCCCACCTCTGCCCCGTCCCCACTTGTGCTCTGTCTCACTCTCAAAAAGAAATAAAATCGTTAAAAAAATTTTTTTAAGAGCACATTTCTTTGGAAAAAAATTAATAAGGAGCTTCTTTATAAACTTGGATCGTTGTTGTTGTTGTATTTTTGTTTTTGTTTTTTCCTCTCTTCCCTTTCTCTCTTATTTCTTAAATCTGAAAAATAGGGGCACCCAGGTGGCTCAGTCAGTTAAGCCTCCAACTTCTACTCAGATCATGATCTCACGGTTCATGGGTTCAAGCCCCACATCTGGCTCTCCTATCAGCACATAGCCTGCTTCAGATCCTCTGTCTCATCTCTGCCTCTCCCTAACTCATGCTCTCTCTCTCAAAAATTTAGGGGTGCCTGGGTGGCTCAGTTGGTTAAGCATCCAGCTTCGGCTCAGGTCATGATCTCACGGTTCGTGGGTTCAAGCCCCGTGTTGGGCTCTGTGCTGACTGCTAGCTCAGAGCCTGGAGCCTGTTTCAGATTCTGTATCTCCCTCTCTCTCTGACCTTCCCCTGCTCATGCTGTCTCTCTCTCTCTCTTTCTCAGAAATAAATAAAACATACATACAAACATTTAAAAAGAAAATCTGAAAAATAAAAATTGACTTTAATGTATGTAATTTTAACATTTACAAAGTCTTATTTGATGAAAATTGGCTGACATGTATGTATGTGTAAGGAAGAGACACAGAACTTAGGTCAAAATGTTCTTAGGTTTTGATGAAATTTATTATAAAGAAATATCCTGAAATTAGAATATACTGTATATATATGTATGTATGTATTTCTTTGGAGGCCAAATTGACTTTTAAAGTAAAATGTGATGCTATCAGTTTATAATTTTTAAAGAGGTTGGTTATTCTAGTTTATAAGTTTAGTGAATCTCAAGGCAGTCCTAGGGTGACCAGATAGATAGATGTTGGACACGTTAGGATGGAAATACTCTCTGGATGTTTGCTTACACAACTGTCCTTTATTTAATTTATGTTAGCTTTCCGCATTACTCTAATCATGGTTAATTTTAGTTCTTCCTATAATATTGTTTAAACCCAACTCTTCATTGAAAAATAATCCAAACTTTTTTTTTCAATTTTAAGTGACGAAACTACTTTCCTAGTTTATGCCTTTTTCTGAACCACATCTTGAAACTTTTTTCTAGTGTATCTTGCCTTAGTAGACATGCAAGATCCAAAGATCCAAGTTTCTCGCCAGAGCAATATATATATATGGCTTACATTAATTAACATGCTACCTTTCCGAAGAGTTCGTAAGTCTTGGGGTGCCTGGGTGGCTCAGTCAGTTAAGCGTCTGACTTCAGGTCATGATTTCATGGTTCATGGGTTTGAACCCGCATCAGGCTCTGTGCTGACAGCTTAGAGCCTGGAGCCTCCTTCAGATTCTGTGTCTCCTTCTCTCTCAGCCCCTCCCCTGCTCACGCTCCATCTCTCTCTGTCTCTCAAAAATGAATAAACATAAAAAAAATTTTTTTTAAGAGTTTGTAAGTCTTTGATAAGAAAAAGTTAACCTTGCCATATGTTACGGGGCATAAACCTGTCAGAGCAAGTTCTTTTTAGTAAAACAAAGTTCATAAAATAGTGTTTTAGCATTTAGTAGTACTTGCCCTCATCCAGTTATAACGTCACCAGTAATTACATACTTTACAGAATACTCTTTTAATAGATGTGCAATGGGATATTTTTTAGTCGGTATCAGCATTGAGAGAGGGGCTATTTAGTTAAAAGTGAACATGAATTTTGAGATAGAAATTGGTTATTCATTTCTGTTATTTTCTAAAACAAAGCAACTCTATTTAAAGGTGTTTAAAGTATAACTATCAGATAACTTCAAGAGCTATTCCAACCTTAATGTTTTCCTTTTAAATCAGCCTTTTGTCTCTTTGGGTCTGATTGTTCTGTACTTCTATAAGAATTTTGAAATCATAGACTTTATTCTCATGTGACATACTAAAAGAATATAAGGAAAAATTTTTTTGGTTTAAATATATGGCTTAGGGGTGCCTGCTGGCTCAGTGGAGCCATGCTCACTCTTGATGCAGGGGTTGTGAGTTCAAGCCCCACACTGGGTGTAGAGATTAGGGGGAAAAACTTAAATTTTTAAAAAGTTAAAAATAAATAAATATATGACTTAGATTGTTACCTTGAAGGGGGAAGACTTTCTGTAACAGCAGTTTCCAAGTTATCTGTTATGGGTGGAAGTACAGAGATGTTGAACTAAATGAAGTCTGCAGTGAACAAGACCATCAAATATAACTGTAGTAAAATAACAATGTTCATTATTATTACGGTTTCAGGGCATATTCTCTCAACGTTTGAATTGGAAAATCATTTCAAAGCTGGCTACTGATGAAATATTTTTCCCTTTCAGGTTTTTTCTCAAAGTTTCAGAACTATTTGATAAAACCAGAGTAAGTACTATCCGTTAACCTTTGGAAGTCTAAATCATTGCATACAGTACTGTTTAACCTATTATGATTGTGTTTAACTTTACTGAGAAAGATGAGTTCTACTTCAGAAGGAATGAAGAGACAGATTTAGATTTGAAAATTGTGAGGCTTTTTTTCAGGAAACTCATTTTTTAAAATTTTGTTACAGCCTTTTGGTATTTGTAAAAGTTCATATTCTTGATCAGTGAACATGTTCATTATGGAGACGAGTTTATTTTTATGAAGAATGATCTTTTTCTAGGGCTTTGTATGATAGAAGAACGTTTTAGATTTATTATAATTTTACCAAGATTGTATTACTTTTGATCCCCCATGACATACTGGTTTAAAAGTGAGTTATATTGGGGTGCCTTGGTGGCTCAGTCAGTTGAGCATCCAACTTCAGCTTAGGTCATGATGTCAGGGTTCATGAGTTTGAGTCCCACTTTGGGCTGGCTGCTGTCAGCACAGAGCCTGCTTAGGATCCTCTGTCTCCCTCTCTCTTCCTCTCCCCTGCTCACGCTCTCTCTCTTTCTCTTAAAAATAAACACTTTTTTAAAGTGAGTTTAACAATATGAGGCAAATATACAACCACAGAAAGGTTAAATTCATAGTAATAATTCTTTAATATTGATGGTAGTCTTGAGTTTCAGGGATTAGTCTTAGATATAATTAGTCTTAGATACTCTGATAAAGTTTATAGAGGGGCGCCTGGGTGGCTCAGTCGGTTGAGCGTCCGACTTTGGCTCAGGTCATGATCTCGCAATTTGTGGTTTCAAGCCCCGTGTCAGGCTCTGTGCTGACAGCTAGCGCAGAGCCTGGAGCCTGCTTCGGATTCTGTGTTGCCTTCTCCCATTGTCCCTCCCCCACTCATACTTTGCCTCTCTCTCTCTCTCTCTCTCTCTCTCTCTCTCTCTCTCTCAAAAATAAACTTAAAAAAAAAGTTTAAAATAAATAAGTAGTTAAATAAAGTTTATAAAATAGTGAAAATGTTTATTACATGTTTAATGGTGCTTACCTGAGATTGGAACTGGCTAGTCCATTGTAGAAATCTGATTTCAACACGACTTTGTCAATTGAGTAATGCATAGTGAATATAAGTAAAAGAAAAGGAGTTACTTTCTTATAAAGGAAACCATCATTAAATACATAAATGTTGCTATAGTGAAGGGTCCAGAAAGCCCATTATTTCACCTTTGGTATTTGTACAAATGAGCATTTTCCAGGAAGATACCGTTTTCTGTGTGTTTACATCAAAAGAAAAGGGGTCTGTCACAAAACAGTTTTATGAGTTAGTATTCCTGCAGAAGTAAATGTCAAGATGAGATTAGACATACAAGAGATTTATTGGGAAGAACGAAGAGGGAGGAGCAGGATAAACATGAAGAGCCGTCAGACCATAGTGCAGGTCTATACCTGCGAAAGGAAAGGGCAGAGGAAGGGAGGGGCTGGAGAGGAGTTCAGACTGTAGTGTAGTTTTTAAAAGTTTTGTCCAGATCAAAAGGGAGTCCCTCAGCCAAAGTTGCTCATTAGAGGCAAGTACTGCATCAGGCAAGAATGGGCTAGCACTACTGCCCTTGTGCTCTGTCACCGGGTGTAGCTGAGGCAGGGAGGAAAGGATGCATCATAACCTTGGGATGAATATTGTTCTGATCTAGAGAGATTGCAGTTGAGACTCTCAACCAACTATGCTCCTTGCGGCAAGCATTTTCTCATGAAGGAGACCTAGATGGCACATTGCCATAGGCACCACAGTCTTCATTTCTTTTGGCGTCTTGGTGTTGTTCTGGTTATTATCGCTGTGGAACAAACCATCCTAAAATTAGTAGCTTAAAAGAACAGCCATTTTATTATTCTGATGAATTGTTTGGGTCAAGAATTCACAAAAGGTGGAACAGAGGTGGGTTGCCTCTGCTCCATGATGTCTGGGGCCTCAGCAGAGAACATAGGAAAGTGGTGGGCTAGAATACTCTGGAGGCTCTTTTACTCAGATATCTGGGGGTGATACTGGCTACCAGCTGAGACTTTAGCCAGCGCTATTGGCTGTAACACTTGCATGTTGCTTTTCCATGGAGCTGCTAAGGGTTCCTCACAGTATAGTGGCTCAAAAGCAAGCATCCTGAAAAATGGGAAGGGAAATTGCTAGTTTCATTAAGGCTTGGAAACTGGCACAGCGTCACTTCTGTATTGGTCAAGCAATGTTAGGGCCCAGATTCAAGGGGAGGGGATACATACCCATACTCCTTAATGGAAGGAGAGAGGAGCCATATTTAAAAGCACCCAACTTCCATCTAACATGTTACCTAGATTTTTCTAATAAATCAGTTTATCTAAATTTATCTGTCAATTTTGAATATATTTATGTCTGTGCATTTTACTGTTAGGCTAAGAAGTTTCCTAAGTTTATTTCTCTATATGGGAATATTTCTTAAGAAGCTCCAAGGTTTTTTCTTTTTATTGAAACATATTTTACATATAAGAAAGAGCATATATGAGAAGTATACACCTCAGTGAAATTTAACACACCCATATAATGAACACCCAGATCAAGAAATAGAACATTTAGGAGCACCTGGGTGGCTCAGTCAGTTAAGTATCCAACTCTAATGTTTCTTTTTTGTTTCTTTTTCTTTCTTTCTTTATTTTTTTTTTTTAAGAGAGAGAGAAAGAGACAGAATGGGAGCAGGGTAGGGGCAGAGAGAGGGAGGGAGACACAGAATCTGAAGCAGGCTCCAGGCTCCGAGCTGTAAGTACAGAGTCTGATGCAGGGTTCAAATTCACAAATTGTGAGATCATGACCCGTGCTGAAGTCTGACACTCAACCAGCTGAGCCACCCAGGCACCCCAAGCCTGCTTGGAATTCTCTCTACCCCCTCTATTTTGCCCCTCCCCTCTTCTGGACGTGCGTACTCAGTGACTGTCTTTCTCTCAAAATAAATAAAATTAAAACAAAAACAAAAAAAAAGAAAATTTGCCAGCAACCCAGATGCCCTGCCCCCCACTTCAGCTTTTTTCTGAGTTGCTACCTCCTGCCTAGGGTAACTACCATCTTAGCTTCTAACAGCAGAGATTAATTTTATTTTCGTATTTTTTGTAAGTACCTCATTCAGTGTGTAACTTTTATGTTTGGTTCCATTTGCTCAACATTACATATATAAGATTCATCTGTATTTATTTTTTTATTTAGTTTTGTTTTTTCTTTTTCAGAAGAGGCAGAGAAGTACTTTCCTTTTTTTTTTCCTCCTTCCTTCCTCCCTTCCTCTCTCTTTCTTTCTTTCTCCTTCTTTCTTTCTTTCTTTCTTTCTTTCTTTCTTTCTTTCTTTCTTTCTTTCTTTCTCTCTCTCTCTCTCTCTCTCTCTCTCTCTCTCTCTCTCTCTCTTTCTTTCTTTCTTTCTCTTTCTTTCCAGTTTATTTACTTTGAAAGAGAGAGAAAGAGCTGGGGAGGAATGGGGCGGCGGGGGGAGAGTCCCAAACACTGCCAACATGGAGCCCTATGTGGGGCTAGAACTCAAGAACCATGAGATCACAACCTGACCTGAAATCCAGAGTCAGATGCTTAACTGACTGAGCCACAAAGGCGCCCCTGTGTATTTTTGTTTTTCTGTTTCTTTTTTTAAGTTAATTTACTGATAGAGTGCGCATGCACAAGTGGGAGGAGGGGCAGTGAGCGAGGAAGAGAGAGAAAATCCCAAGCAGGCTCCATGCTACAAGCCAGAGCCCGGCTGGGGGCTCAATCTCACAAACCATGAAATCATGACCTGAGCCAAAATAATCAGATGCTTAACCAACTGAGCCACCCAGGAGCCCCAATTCATCCATGTTGTTGGCATGTAGGTATCGTTCCTTTATTCCTCTTGCTATAAACCTTACCTTTGCAAGAATATACCTAAATTCATTCATCTGTCCTACTGTTGGTAGGCATTTGGATAGTTTCTAGTTTGGGGCTGTTTACAAATAGTACTTCTAAGACCATTCTTACATATTTTCAGCTAAAAACAAGTAGGTATTTCTGTCAGGTATATAATAACCAGGAGGGAGATTAGGGGTCTTAGGGTATCCACATGAAAAGCTTTCATAGATCGTGCCAAACCTTTTCCCAAAGTGATTGTACATACCAATTTACATTCCCATCAGAATAAATGTGAGCATTGGGTTGCTGCACAGCTTGCAATACTTGCTGTTGTCTTTTTTTATTGTAGTTATTCTGTTGGATGTGTAGGGCTTTAAATTTTAATTTTATTTCAACAATAATTTCGGACATACAGAAAATTTGTGAGAATAGTACAAGGAATTCCTATACATGGGTCACCCAGATTTCCTGAATGTTAAATTCTTCTCCATTGCTTAAAGCGCTTTTTCCCCAAAATGTCCATGTTCATTCTGTTTCTGCTCTTCGTGCACATCTCTTTTTCTTTTTAATGTTTTGTTTATTTCTGAGAGAGAGACAGCATGAACAGGGGAAAGTCAGAGAGAGAGGGAAATACAGAATCTGAAACAGGCTCCAGGCTCCGAGCTGGCTGTTAGCACAGAGCCTGACGCAGGTCTCGAACCCACGAACCGTGAGACCATGACCTGAGCTGAAGTGGGATGCTTAACCGACTGAGCCACCCAGGCGTCCCCACATCTCTCTTTTTTTTAAAGATAAGAATTAGGGGCGCCTGGGTGGCTCAGTCAGTAAAACCTCCAACTCTTGATTTCAGCTCAGATCATGATCTAATGGTTTGTGGGATCGAGTCCCTCATCAGGCTTTGTGCTGAGTACAGAGCCTGCTTGAGATTCCCTCTCTCTCTCCACTCTCAAAATAAATAAATAAAAATTTTAAAAGATAAGAATTAATTATAATGTAGTCAATACAGTTATCAATGATTTCCCTTGATGTCACCAAATTCTCAGTAGATAGATGTTCCTAGTTGCCTCACATGGCTTTTTACAGTGGAGTTAATTTGACCTAGATTCAAACAAGGTCCTTATATTGTGTTTGGTTGACACAATACATCCTTATTGTCTATCTCTCCATACTGAATTGAAGAGTTTCATCTTGTTAGTCTGACATGGCTGCTTCTCATTTTATCCCAACTCAAACTAACCACATCTGTTTATTACTCTATGGTGTCTTCAGGCACATTTTGGTAATGTTTTGACTGTATTTTCTGGTTGTTCTCAGTAGGAAGATTGGTTTGAGTTACCTAGCCTACTGTCGTTAGCCTTTATCACTTTAAAATCATGTATACATATCACTGAAAGGAAGTAACAAGAGAGAAAATGTAAGTGATGCTGAAAGATGGTACTAGAATGCAGTCTAACTGGAAACTTCAATCAGATATTGAGTCCTTCCATAAACTCACTAATTTCATTTGGTCTCATTTTTTCTATTCATTTCTTGTCATAATCATGAAGAAAAGTAATAGGCTAGTAGAAAGGAGAAGGTGAAAAAACTTAGGTTAAATAGGAATGGATAATATAGATATTTGTAACTAATTTTTTTATAGTAATTGAGAAAGAAAACGTTGGGTGTAGAATATGTGCTAATTAAATGCCTGGTTTTTTTTCCCCCTTTTTCAGAAAATAGAAGCACGAGTGTCTGCTGATGAGGACCTCAAACTTTCTGACCTTTTAAAATATTACTTAAGGGAATCTCAAGCTGCTAAGGTAACTTGATTGTTCATTGTTTTTTTTTAAATGGACTGTTTTATAAAAAGCCATCTCTTTAGAGGTTAGACTTAAGATTATTGAAAGTTATCTCTTGATTTTAAATTTTATTTTCAAGTGTGAATTTTTTTCTACTTTTACAAATTATAGGTCAGAAAACCCCACATAAATGTTTCCTCTATCAGGGTGCCTGGCTAGCTCAGATGGTAGCATGCAACTCTTAATCTTGGGGTCATGAGTTCATGCCCCACGTGGGGCCTAGTGCTTATTTAAAAAAATAAAAACTTGGAAAAAAAAATAAATAAATAAAAAATAAAAAATAAAAACTTGGGGTGCCTGGGTGGCTCAGTTGGTTAAGCATCAGGCTTTGGCTCAGATCATGATCTTGTGGTTCATGAGTTCAGCCCCATGTCACACTCTGTGATGACAGCTTGGAGCCTGGAGCCTGTTTCAGATTCTGTGTCTCCCTCTCTTTCTATCCATCCCCCCGTTGTGCGAGCGTGTGCTCTCTCACTCTCTCTCTCAAAAATCTTTAAAAATAATAATATAACTAAAAAAGTGTTTCCTCCATAAACTTCTGATACAGCATAGTCTGGAATTTTTTTTTTTAATAAATTTGGTATATTCATTCAGGTAAAATGCCTTCAAAACAAAAAGTAAAATCCTATAGCTAAAGGATGCCTGATTTGGGTCAATGTAAGTCTCTTGAGGGTGAGTGAGCTCTAAATCCAGGATTGTTTTATTTTAAGGCAACTCAGATTTCCTTTTGTTTTCTTTAATGTTTGTTTGTTTATTTTTGAAAGTTGGGGGGATAAGGGCAGAGAGAGGGAGACCGAGAAATGCAGCAGGCTCTGCACTGTCAGCACAGAGAGCTCAAACCCACCAGATGCAAGATCATGACCTCAGCTGAAATCTCGAGTCGGGTCGCTCAACCGACTGAGCCACCCAGGGAACCAAATTTCATTTAGGAAGTCTGTGTGTGTGTAAGACTAAAACTTTTACTGTCCAAAAAATGTTTAACAGAAACGTCTGAAAAAGACTGAAAACTTAGTGGCTCAGGTACTACAAATTTAGTGTTAATTTATGAATCAGTATATATTGTACAGAAAATTTACATGTGATCCCTGGTGATTTGAATGCGAATTTTTCATTCCTTATCAAATTACAAACCCTGCGAGGGCTATTTATGACTCATGATCTCAGGATCTTGAGTTCAAGCCCCACATTGAGTGTAGAGGTTACTTAAGAAATAAAACCTTTAAGGTGCCTGGGTGCCTCAGTTGGTCAAGTTTCTGACTCTTGGCTTTGGCTCAGGTCATGATCTCACAGTTCATGAGCTCAAACCCTGCATTGGACTCCACAATGATAGTGCAGAGTCTACTTGGGATTTTCTCGACCCTCTCTCTACCCCACCCGCTCTTGCTCTCACTCTCAAAATAAGTAAAGACATAAACTTTAAAAATAATTTTTTTAAGCAGTTCTTTTTTTCCTCTTGTTGTTTGTTTATTTTTGAGAGACAGAGCACGAGTAGGAGAGGGGCAGAGAGAGGAGACACAGAATCCAAAACGAGCTCCAAGCTCCGAGCTGTCAGCACAGAGCCTGATGCGGGGCTTGAACCCATGGACTGTGAGATCATGACCTGAGCCGAAGTCGGATGCTTTACCGACTGACCCACCCAACTACCTCCCAATAAAAACGTTTTTTAAGAATAAATACATAAAGAGGATCTAGGTGGCTCAGTAGGTTACGCATCCGAATTTGGCTTGAGTCATGATCTCACAGTTCATGGGTTCGAGCCCCGTTTCGGGCTCTGTGCTGAACGCTCAGAGCCTGGAGCCTACTTTAGATTCTGAGTCTCCCATTCTCTCTGCCCTTCCCCACTTGTGCTTGCTCTCTCACTCTCTTGCTCTTTCTCTGTCTCTCTCTCTCAAAAGTGAATAAACGTTTTTTTAAATACTTTTAATAATTAATTAGTTAAATCTTTATAAAACAAAACCACACCATGATATGACTTCACATCCTCTAGGTGGCTTTAATCAAAAAGATCAGTGTTGCCAAGGATGTGGAGAAATTGGAACCCTCATATAGTGTCTGCAGGAATGTAAAATGGTGCAGCCACTTGGGAACACAGTCTGGCAGTTTCTCAAAAGGTTGAACATAGAATTACCAAGTGGCCCAGCAATTCCACGCCTAAGGAATGAGTCAGAAAGAGAAAGGAAGACATGTTCA